TCTCCCCCTTTTATCTTTGTTTTTACTTCTCTTTGTTGTTTTGGGGAAAATTTATAACAAAAGTCATACATATTGGCGACTTTAGTAGGTTGTTAAATTTACTTTGTTTCCATAACTAAATTAAATCAAAAACATTCTCTGGATGAAAATAAAATCTTCACTCTAACTAAAACTAGTGTATTTTTTTTTAGAATTTTAAGTTGTACGTAAACCCTATTTTTAGTTTTTCTTAATTTTTTTTTTTTATGTTTCTGGCGATTTCAAATCTCTCAAATCAATGCCCAAAAGTGTGCAGTGATATTTTTTATGTTTTGAAAGAAAAAAAATACAATTTCATTAAAGCATTTTAAGTTTTATGAAATTTCTAATTCTTTATTTTTTATTTTTTAATTATGCTTTACTTATTTAATTGTCACTTGATTACTCTTTTATTCATAGAAGAATTTAGCTTTTCTCTCATTTTCTTTTTGCATTTTTGCTTTGCTTTGTGCTTGGTTGTGTTGGCTTTTCTGTTAGTTTTTCTTTTATTTTCCTGTGTTCTAGATATGTATGTTATATGTATATATATGGGGGAATGATGTACATATGGATGTACATATATAGTTATATACAAAATATATATATAAATAAATATATGTATATATGTGTGTGTGACACAGACACAAGGCGTGGCTGAGGAAGAAGAGGAGGCAAAAGCAGAAGCCGGAGAAGAGGCAAAAGCTGATGATGATGATGATAAAGCAGGCGGTAAAAGTGGGTGGCAAATGGATGCTGCTTTCATGTGTGTGTGTCGTATATATATATATATATATATATATATATATATATATAGATAGATGTACATGCGTGTGTGTTGTATGTGCATAACTTACTGCGCACATAACGGTACATGTGTGCTCTCTCTCTCTCCCTCTCTTGCTCCAGGTCATTTTCCTTCTCTCTCTTGTTCTCTGGCTATATACATATATATGTATGTATATATCTGCTTCTTCTCCTATCTCTTTCTAACTGCAGCATGTTTTCAAACGAATTTTCAAGCTGCATATTTAAATATTTTTGTTGCAAACTTTAAGGCCAAAAATAAATGGGGGGAAAATCAGAGAGAGAGATAGAGAGCGAGGAAAATGCCATAAGGGAAAGCACTAAGGGAGGATTGAAAAGATGCACAAGAAGATGCTTAAAAGTGATGTACAATGATGTACATATGATAAATTGGGATAAGTTAATGATAATTATAATGATTATCAAGAGGAAAACAGATGATTTTGGGGATTACAAATTTATATTGAAATAAATTAAAATATAAGAAATTATATTAAAATATAATAAAATAAAATTTATTAAAATATAATTATAATTAATATATAATAAAGTTCAATGAAAAAATTAAATTAAAGATTAATCAAATTTAAAGATTCTTCTAACACAGCTAAAGATTATTATTGAATAATAAAAAATAATAATAATAAAAAATATTTATAAATAAAATAATAGAAAAAATGATAATAATAAAATATTAATAAATAAAATAATACAAAAAATAATAATACAAAAATAATAAAATTAACTTATATAAAATACATACATTTTAAATATTTTTTAAGTTAACATTTTAATTAATTTAGCCATAAAAACTTAAATAAAATCCTATTACAATTTCTAACATTTTCCTTTCGTCTCTCTTTCATTCCAGGTAAAACATCTACACTAACATTGAACATAAACACACCTTTATATACCTTTATATAAAGGCTAATAAATAAGGCAAACGAAGCAAAGCGAAAGGAATAAAAGAATGAGAAGAAGAAGATCACAAATAAAGTAATGTATAGTCCAAGCTTATTTAAAGCTCCAAAAGAAGAGGAAACCTTAATGGTCTAGGGAAACAGAGAAAGGAATATGAACATATATATAAAATATAATATAATATTATATATATAATATTAAACATAATATATATAATATAAAATTCAATTAATAAATCACTTTAAATATAAAACAAAAGAAGTAAATTCTAAAATAGAATATAGAATCACTTTAAGGCGAGTAAAGGGCAAGGTCAAAGAAAATATATATATAAATCTAATATAGAAGGTTAGAAGGGGGCCTGAAATAGAAGAGGAAATAGAATCACTTGCGAAAAGTGTACAAGTCAAAGTTTACAGTTCACAAATATAGAGAAATACTTAAAGCCAAAGATCTTATAATATTAAAAAAAAAAAACAGAAAAAAAAACTAAGAATAAAATAATTAATATTAATAATAATTATAATATTAATATTAAATCTCAATAATATGTTAGATTACATAAAAAATAACGAATGAGTCATTAAGAACAACCTTTCTTTTTTTTCCCCCTTGATTTTTATAGATAGATCTCATACATGATTGATGATTTAGGTCCATCAATTGTCTAAGTTTTTTATTTTATATTATTTTCTTCCAATTTCTGGACAAAAACCTGGAATTTAAAACGGTTTTTTTTTTAAAGAAATATAAATAAAACAAAAATAAAAAGAAATGAAGTTTGGCAACATTGCTTCTATGATATGCCCTTCTCTGTCGCACCCAGTTCGCCGTTAGTCTTTAATATTTAATGAATTAATAAACGGAGAGCCTGTGGTTGTCTCGTGATGCCGGCAGAGAATGTTGCGTCGATGTTGACGTTGAAGCCGGCAGAGATGCGTCGCCGTCGCCGCCGCCGCGTTGGGTCAAACGCGTCGCACGTTAATCAAAGAAATCAAAGAAAATATATGAAAAATCAGGAAAATGAGCTAAAACTGGGAAAATAATCAAAAACTTTAAATATAAATCTCAACAAAATTTAGAAAAATGTCTTGAAATGTGTTCTTATAGAATCTTTAATTAAAAGTAGCCTTAAATACAAAGTTGAATGGGATAAATGTCTAGGAATGCGTTTGCTTTATATTTTAAAATTAATAATTAATGAAGAATTAATAAAATAGGTCTTAGTTTTCATATAAATTATGGTTTAAAAATAAAATATGTTTATATAGATGAGAAAACAGAACTAAACTAATATTCACAAAACCGTATTAAGACATGATAAAAAATTATGATTCAATAAATAATACAAAATATTTAAGAGTTTAAAATTAAGTTTTCATAGAATTTAATTTAGAAAAATTACTACAAATGCTCCAAGAATCATTAGGAAAAAATTTAAAAGCGTGGTGGTTTTATGAATATATTAAAATAAAATAAAAAATATTTAAAAACCAGTTCGAAGAATTTTTTTTAGATTTTTTATACAAAAATTAACCTAAACTTTGTTTTAATAATTAATTCTTCTGTTTGGCTAATTATTTAATTTTTTTTTTAATTATTTCTAGTTTTAATAAATAAATTGAACGTTAAATTATTATAAATCTGGATAAAATATCCATTGATTTAGAATTATCTATTTATACTTGTTTTTTTAAAGATGTAAATGAGTATTATTATTATTATTATTATTTTTTTTTAATTTTAAAAGTAAAATAATTAAAATAAAATCCTAGTCACCACCGAAGAAGTGTGCCTAATTTTTGGGTCAGCCATTGTAGCCTCTGTCGCTGCTGCTGCTGCCGCCGTCGACGTCGTGTTCTGCCTCTGCCGACGCGGTTGCGGTTGCGGTTCACCTGCAACATCAAACACGCGCGGTTGCAACACGAACATCAAACGTTCACAGCAGCAGCACATGGTGCTCGCATCACGAAAACGACAGAGATGGCCAATTAGCTTCGAACTCGGTTCGAACTGGCCCTAGCCCTCTCTCGCTCGTTCTCTCTTGCGACTGGTTCGAATACAAGCTATTTACCGGCCGGGGTTTTCGGGGTTTGTGTCCCCAATAAACAAGAATAAAAAACTAGAAAAAAAAAGCAACTAAAAAAGACTAATAATAATAATAGAGTCAGTAAATCAACCGTTATTGTAATAATAACAGCCGTAGGTGTGTGTATATATATGTACATAAATAACTCTTAAAGCGTATTATGCAGATATATGCGGCGATGTGATCATCCGATTATCTTGGATTATAAAATAAGAAAAAAAAAAATGCGATAGAAAAACTGGGTCAAGCCTCAGTTGGTTCCACTTTGTACAGCTCTTCTTAAAATGGAAAATTCGCAGACTAAGAAAAAGAGTCTACGATCCTAGATTTCAGTTTTTTATTTTTTTAGATAATAAAAATGATATCTGGTTCGATGCAGATTTTCCAAGTCTAAAGCAGGTCAAGGCAACCTCAATTGTCAGGGAAAATAACAACTTTTAATTAGTTTATAAAGAAAATGATCAAATTTACTTAAATTTCATTGATTAAATCTGTTTAATATTATCAAATTGTGGGACATTTTTATCTTTTTTTTTTTAAATGTATCTAATCAGTACAACTTATTTTTCTAAACCATAAAATTAAATAAAAATTTAATTTTTAAACCTTAAACTATAGAAACTTAATTAAAAAATGTAAAAATAAATAAATATTAATAAAAATAAAATATTAATAATAATAAAAGTAAAATATTAATAAAAGTAAAATAATAATAAAAATAAAATAATAATAAAAATAAAATAATAATAAAAATAAAATAATAATACAAATAATTAAATAATACAAATAAATAAAAATAAAAAAATAAATAATTATATCGTTAAAATAATATAAACTATTTCCTGTGTTGAGGTCCGTTTTTGCTCTCACATCGACATTTATAATTCCCAACGGGTTCTAGCATAGATGTAAGGTAAAGGCTCAAGCAAATTGGTACTAGTTAGTCAGTGATTTGTGTGTGTGTGTGGTGAAAAGTTTTTTGGGTTGTTTTTGGCTTCCAAGCATAGACAGCAGGCTACATGTAAATAAAATTGCAACATTTCCTATACAATTTTCTTATAAAAGAAGCTCCTTCGCTTGCCTTTGCTTTCCCCAATTTATTAAAACATTATTTTAATAATCTGCTTGTGTTTTCCTCCCCCTTTCTCTCCTTCCGCCCCCACTGGTCGTACAGGGCTCTGGAGCAGCAGACTCAGTATGCCAAGCACCTGGGCCACCTGCAGCAGCAGCAGGCGCCTCCGACGAGCCAACAGCAGCAGCAGCAGCAGCAGTTTGCGAGCCAGCACCACCACCACCACCAACAGCAGCAGCAGCAGCAACACCAGCACCAACAGCAGCAGCAGCGAGCAGCGGCCAGTCCACTGTCGCCACCTCGTCCTGGAAATCCTAGCGGCGGCAGTGGAGCAGGAAGTTGCGGCAGCAGCGGAAGCGGTGGCAGCAGCAGCAGCAGCGGCGGCGGAGGAGGAAGCAGCAGCGGCAGCAACAGTGCGTCCGTCAATAACAGTTACCCGCCACCGCCACCGCAGCATCGATTCGATCGGGCCTATAGCATTGCCCCGGCGCCCACCTATCGGGAGACACCCTACACGCGTCTCACGCATCTCACGCAGCAGGTGGTGCAGCAGCAGCAGCAACAACAACAGGCGCAGCAGCAGCAGCAGCAAATGCCGGGATATCAAAGAGTATCGGCGGCTGCGGCAGCAGTGCTGGCGGGCAAATCCTCCGCTCCTGGCCAGGGTTCCAATTCAAGTCAAGGAAGTGGAAGCGGCGGGAGTCAAGGTGGAGCTGCTCCGCCCGGCGGCGGTGTGGTGCAAGTGTCGCAGTCTGGCGGTGTCCTGGTCATGGAGGCCGCACCCCATTATGCCAGCCAACCAAATAGTAATCCCTCCCAGCAACAGAAGCAGCAGCAGCAGCAACAACAACAGCAGCAGCAGCAGCAGCAGGGATCGGCGGGCGGACCAGCCTCATCTGCCGCGGATAATTGCAGCCGCATAATGGTCGGTAATCGGGGGATCCTGATACCCCACTCGCAGGCCCTGCAGTATACCAGCGAGTACCTGACCAATGTCACAGCGGCTGCAGTGGCTGCCGGTGCGGTAATACAGCGGCCGCAATTGCAGCAGCTACCCCCGCAGCAGCAGCAGCAGCAGCAACAACATCCTCCTCCCGAGCCATTTGGCAATGCTGGTGGCCAGCAGCCCTACAAGAAGCAGCGGCTAAGCGAGGCCAATGCCAGCTCTATGAATCACCTGCCACCGCCACATCCTCAGCAGCAGCAGCAGCAGCAACAGCAGCAGCAGCAACGATCCTCGCCAGCCCAGCAACTGAATAGCAGCAGGCAGAGTCACATAGATCTCTGCCGGCAGGTGGGAGGAGGCACGCCCATGGGCATACAGCTTAAGGTGGACACACTGCCTCAACAACAGCAGCAGCAAAGGGAGTTGCATCATTTGAGGGAGCAACATCATCAGAGAGAGCAGCTGCAGCAGCAGCATCACAGGGAACAGCAGCAGCGGGAAAGAGAGCGGGAGCAGCATCAGCAGCAGCAGCAACACCAGCAGCAGCATCAGCAACACCACCAACAGCATCAGCAGCAGCAACACCAACAGCAGCAGCATCAGCAACAGCTTGCAGCACAAAGCAGAAACCAGGCTGCTTCAGCAGTAAGCAGCAGCTTGGCGGGTGTGGGTACAGTGACTGTTTCCACGGCAGCAGGAACGGGTAGCAGCCATGTGATTGGGGGAGCAAGTGCCAGCACAGAGGCCTACCATCCACAGGTGAGAGTAGCAAGCACAGAATCCAGAATTAACCCCAAGATTTCTAATAACTTTTTCCAATTTCTCAAAACAGGTGGAGGCCATCTCGCCCACGCTGCCCAGCGATAATGCCATTGAGGAGCGTGGTCGCACCAGTGCCAAGGAGGAGTTGTTGATGAAAATTCAAAAAGTGGATAATGATATCAAATCCGCTGAGACAACTATGGAGACGTTGCGTAAAAAGGAAAAGAGTCTGATGGAAGAGGCAGCTTTGGCCAAGCAGCAAAAGGCAGCCAAGGATATAGTGGCTAATAACAACAATAATAATAATAATAATAACAACAACAATAACAACAACAACAGCAACAATAACAATAATGAACAAGAGGAAGTTGTAGAGCTAGCCTGGCGTGGCCAAATGCTGGCTGAAAAGATTTATGCGGCCAATAGAAAGACGGCCCATGACCAACATTCCAAGCTGCTAAAGATTGCAGTTACAACAACAGAAGCAGCAACACCAACAACAACATCAAGTCAACCCAGTGATGCTGTAAGCATACGACCCTGGTTACCCTTGTATAATCAACCCTTGGATGTTGAAGCCCTAACCCTGCTCATCCGTCAACATCAAAGTCAAGTGCGTGCTCCATTGCTGTTGCACATACAAAAACTTAAAGCCGAACGTTGGCTGCACAATCAGAGACTTGTGGAGAAATATACCAAGGAGCAGGCCGATTGGCAGCGACGCTGTGAACGCCTAGAAGCCAGTGCCAAGCGTAAGGCACGCGAGGCCAAAAATCGTGAATTCTTTGAAAAAGTCTTCACCGAATTGCGTAAGCAACGCGAAGATAAAGAACGCTTCAATCGTGTGGGTTCACGCATCAAATCCGAGGCAGATCTCGAAGAGATTATGGATGGACTGCAGGAGCAGGCACTCGAGGATAAGAAAATGCGTTCATATGCTGTTATACCGCCCCTGATGTACGATGCCCGCCAGCGACATTGCGCCTATCATAATGAAAATGGACGCATTGAGGATATGATGGCTGAGCATCAGCAGCGCAAGGCTCTCAATATGTGGACAGCCGGGGAGAAGGAGACCTTCAAGGAGAAGTATCTGCAGCATCCGAAAAACTTTGGAGCCATTGCCGCCAGCTTGGATCGTAAATCGCCGCAGGATTGCGTTCGCTACTACTACCTCAGCAAGAAGACGGAGAACTACAAGCAATTGCTGCGTAAATCCCGCCAGCGTACGCGTAGCTCACGAAATCCGGCCAAGGCCCAGGCTGCTCAGCCCCAGTGCATCATTGATTCCATGACCACGGGTGTTATGACGCGCCTGCAGCGGGAACAGCAACAAAAGTCGGGCAATCGTTCATCGGCTGTGGCTGAACGTGAGCGAGCGGAACGAGCGGCCGAAAGAGAGCGTGTGGCGGAAAAGGCTGCTGCAGATGCAGCCAAGGCGGCAGAGAGTGCAGCGGAGAAGGCAAGTGCTGCCACCAAGGCAGTGGAAGCCACGGCAGCGGGCGAGAAGGTGGCCAAGCAGCAGGCAGCGGCAGCGGCGGCGGCAGCACAAGCAGCAGCAGCAGTAGCAGCAGCAGCGTCATCGGTGGCCACTACAGCGACATCCTCGACGGCCACCACCACAACAACAACAACAGCAGACAAGGCAGCAGCAGCGGCGGCAACGGCAGCAACGGCGGCAGCTGAGGCACCAACGGGATCAGCCTCCAGCGATAAGAATGCAGCGGTAACTGTGGCCACATCAGCTGCTAATCCAACACCTGCAAACACAAATACAGCAGCTGCAGCAGCAGCAGCACCCACACCTTCAGAGATCTCAGCGGGCAGCGCAGAGGCTGCTGCCAAGACTAGCAAAACTGCCGATGAAGAGGCAGCCGGAGCAGCAGGAGGAGGAACCTCATCCGGAGTAGCTGCAGCAGCCACAGTGGCAGCCACGGCTGGACATACACCAGCCAGCAGTGCCAGCAGCAGCAATCCAGGAACCGAGGCCAGCACTGGCACAGCAACAGGTGGTGGAAAGCCAGAGACAGCCACAGAGCCAGCGGCGGGAACAGCAGCCAAAGGTACCGAGGCGATAACAGAAGCCAGCACAGATAGTCTAGGGAAAATTAACAGCAAAGAGAATGGTAAGAAAGGAGTTTTTAATTTTTAAAAAATTAAATAACTCATAAATAACAATTTTCTTTATTTTTTAGCTACTGCAACATCTGCTGCAACTCCAACACAAGGCGTTACCTTGAATGGCTTCAAGACTGGCTATCAGACCGTGGTCATGGCCAATGTTAAGTCATCAGGCGAGGATTCAGCTGGTGTTGCAGCAGCAGCAGCGGGAGCAACATCGATTGCTGCCACAAAGAATGCAACAACAGCAAGTGGCAACAGCAACGATAAAATCATGAAGACAACACCAACATCGGGCGCTGTTTTGAATTCAACAAGTACTCCCGCCGAAAGTGGAGGAGCAGGAGTGCCCACATTGACCACTGCCACAACGGCGGGCAATTATCTTGGCCAGAAACTGAAGGCGGCCCAAGTAGAGGGGCTTGGAGCGGGCAATGATCTGCATGCGGATGTTAGGTGAGTGTTTCAAACACTCAAACACCACAAACTATAACCACTAAAAATGTACATCTATTGCCATCTCTTTCGATTTTGCAGTGACTCAAAGCGAAAACGCTTCGAAATGAATGCCAGCAGCGGCGGCGGTGAGGCCCAGCAAGTGGCTGGTGGAGTGTCAAGTGCCACCAATAGCCACAATAGCAATAACAACCTAAAGGCCAATGCCAAGGATGTGTCGATGGTGAAGCCTTCAACCGCTGGCGCTGCATCGGTATCATCATCATCAGCATCGGCGGCATCCTCTGTGGTTACCTCCACGCCGGCATCTTCGTCCGGTTCCATTCTACTGATCAGTGCCGCCTCCATAATGTCCACCGCCTCTGGTGGTTCGGGATCCGCAGGATCAACGGCGGCCACTGCACCGGCAATCTCTATGCCTTTGTTTTCGGATGGAAGTGAGATTATAGCTTTGGATGGCAAAGGTAAGTGCAAGAATTATTACAAGATATATTTTAGAATTTAAAAAGATATTAAAATCAAAGGCAAAGTAGAATAGGCTTGAGGAAATATATTTATTATTTTATAATTGATGATATTTTTATGATATTTTGTATTAAAAAGTTGTTAAATTTGTTGAATTTAAATTTAAACTGGTTTATATTTGGATTAACTCCTATTTTTGTCGATTATTTTAAAGGATAATTATCGAATTAATTGCCTTTTTAATGTTGTGTATCGTTAAATGCTTAGAAATCCAAGAAGTTAGGGGTTTTCCAAGAAAAATAACAACAAAAACCTTAAAAAATCAAAAACTTTCATATGGATGATGTCCTTGCTCACCTAGATTTAAGCTTTTGGGCTATCTAGGAAGCTTTATTATCCTTACCAAGCTTTTAAGCTTTGCAAGATAAAACCTGATTTTAAACCTGCCTCAAAGCTTTTTGCTTAACTTTTGTCACAAGCTTTCGTTGCTTTCCTTGGTTGTTTGTTTTTCAAAAAATGCCATTTTGTGTCCCTTTGGAAGCTAATGAAAAATGCATTTTCCATTGACAATAACTGCAGTTCTTGGCTTAAACCAAAAACCAAAAGCCAAAAAAGCCAAAACCCAGTTACCAACACTTGTTCCTTCGATGAAGAGTTCCCTCTTTAGCTGCGTTTCCTTGCCTTCTGTTTGCATTGCGTTCTCCGCCAGCGTTTTTTTGATTAATATTTCATCAAAAAAGTGAAGGAGAAACTGAAAAAGCGGTGGAAAAAGCTATGATGGCCTCAAGTCATGTCGCCCGGAGAGAGTTAAAAAAAAAAAAGAGTTGACAGTGGAGAAGGGCGGCTAGCGAGAATATATCTTTCGATTTCCAAGTTCCAGTTTTTCGGCCGCTTGTGGCTTTTGTTTGCACCACTGCTGCCACTCCCCAATCCACCTCACCTTTAAATCCACCCACTTGAGGCAGGAAACCACCACCCACTTGACACTTGCACCCCCTCTGCTCACTGCTCATCATCTTCGGCCTTGTTGTTGGCTGTCATCATCATCATCTCCCTGGCGAGTTAATTAAACTCAATTAAATTAATTTCCTCTTTTTTAACGTCTTTTTTATTATGCAAGTGATTTAATTTAATTATTAAATTGCGGCAAGGATTGTTTACCTTCGCAGCAGAAGCAGAAGCAGAAGCAGTATAGCCCTGCTCTTATCCCCACCTTTTGTCCATTTCCATCTGCACTTCTTTATATTTTTTCCTAGTTGAAATACAAAATGGAATTCGATAAGAGTCAGGCCACCCTTATGATAAATGCGATTAAATGTGTGTCTATCGATTAACATTATCACTGATTAACATAAATAGTTAATCTCTATCTGTTGCTTTTTTACTGATTAAAGTTGATCAAGAGAATTAGTCGTTTTTTGGTGTATTCGATAAATGCAATTAATCGTATCGATTAATATAAAGTTTAACATTTTATGTTGTAAATCGATTTACTTTGGTAAATTTCATTAAACTCCTTTATATTTATTTGTTATTAATAATAATATCTTTGATATTATCTATTGATTATAGAATATCGATTATTTTAACTCTAAATGAGTCTCGCTGAAACGGTTTTAAGGCTGAATTGTTTCTTATTTTTGAATTTATTTCGATTCGATATGTCAATTATCACATAAATCACTTTAAATTGTTTACTAGGAATTCTTCGATAAATTTCGATATATTTCGATATGACTTGTGATTTATTTAACTTTCTTGAACTTCTTTGTTTGGATTTTAATTAAAAAAAAAAAAAAATGATTTACCTGCCCTTCTTTTAATTTATGTTGATTCACCAGTATTATATAGTTTCTTCAATTATTTCTTACCTTTATGCTTCTTCTATTTCCTTCACTCCTTCCTCCTTTTTATACACTTGTTTTCTATATTTTTTATATTCATATATATATATTTTTTATTTATTTATTTCATAAATTTATTTAATTGCATTTCTAAAGAGAGCGCAAAAAAAAAAACGAGACTAACTTGTAGCATTTGTTTTTCATAAATTCGTAGATTTCGATGCTTTGATTTTGAGTGCTTAGAACCTTAGTTCTGTTGTTGTCCTGCCTGTGGATCCTCTCCAGGAGTATCCAATACAGCAGTAGGTGGACCTTGAGCAGGAGCAGTTGCCACCTCCCTCTTGGAGGCTAGATTGCTGCTGCTATTGTTGCTACTGCTGCTGCTGCTGGCATTGCTTGTATTATTATTGGTGGCCTCGATCTCCTCGGCATGGCACATCTTCCGGTGCTTGTGGACAAAATAGTAGCTGGGAAACTTGCTGCCGCATGTCTTGCAGGGATAATACTGGACATTCATGTCCAAGGGCCTAACCTCGCGACGCAGCAATGCTGCTCCTGTTGCACCTGCAATAATTGATGAGGGAGCAGCAGTAGCAGTCGAAGCCGCCGAAGCCACCACTATTTGGGTCTCCGCCTCCAGGCTGGCCAGTGTTGTGGGTGGCTCGGCAGCCAGTAGCTTCTTTTCGCCACCAGTTGTGGTCGTTGTTGTTGTTGTGGTCAAGCTGAGTGGATTGAGATGACGCTTGGCATGCTTCTGGTAGCAATACTGCGACTTGAAGGTGTGCTTGCAATATACACAGACATACAGCTCCTGGTTGGAGGAGGAACCACCACTCGTTGAGGCTGAGCCACCGCCAGAGCCTGTGTTTGAATGCTTCCTGGAGGAATTCAAGTTCGAGGCTGCTGGCTGTGGAGCATCTCCGCTGTTCTCACTCTCCTCCAGCTGCTGTTGCTGCTGCTGTCGCTGCTGACTGCTAATGGCCCTGGCCATTTGCTGGTGAAAAGAGTAGCTAACACTCTGCTGGCTGCGATGCTGCTCCGAGGCAGTTGCTCCTGCCGAACCCGATGCTCCCCCCGTTGCTACTCCTCCTCCTCCTCCTGCAGCCGTATGATGATCCTCAGGCTTGTGGCCATAGGCTGTGTTTAGGATGCGACGAAAGCGCACTGGTCCATCGCAGCTGGCCACATCGATAATGAACTTGGATACAGACTGCGTCGTTGTTGTTGTTCCAGCTGGTTCCAGCTGTGCTGCTGGCACTGGTGCCTTGGCCACCTGGAGGCCACTTCCACTAGATGTTGCTCCTCCTTTTCTAGATCTACCCTTTTTGCCCTGGCCACACTTTTGTTGGTTTTGCTCCCTCTTGGATTTGGATAACTTGCCACTGGCAGGAGGAGGAGCTACCAGGTTAGGAGCAGTTGGTAGTATAGCTGGTGTGGGCTTGACATCTAGTCTTTCGATATTTAGACTTCCAGCACTGCTGCCCGCCAGGGAACTCACCACCGACACATTGCAGTCCATGTCCACATCGGGTTCTGGTTCTTGTTCAAGATCCAATTCGTTATCTGTCACCGTATTGCTGTCGATGAATACTTCAATGTCCTCCTCTTCGTCGTTGTCCTCTTCGTGGTAACGTGGACTATTGGCCACCTCCATATTTAGGAAAACTGCTGGAGGCGGAGGAGCTTGAACAGGAGTTGGAGCTGGAGCAGGAGGAGGTGGTGGTGGAGGGGGAACTGCTGCGGCTGCTGCTGCACTTGGCGGCGTGGCCTGTGGCATGTGAGGCATGAAACCGAAATTTGGCATGGTGGCCTTGCTGGGTATGGGCCGGATAACCTTGGCAACGTTGCTGGGCACAGCAGCGGGACAAAGCTGGCCGGGATTGCCATTTAGATAGCCTTCCGTTTGAGCGCGGGCCAAAAAGGAGCTACAAAAAATATAAAATTAAGAAATTAGGAAAGAGTTCTTTGAATTTGTCATGAATATTTCGAAGAAAAAGTTTTTTTTTTTAATATTTTATAAATATTTCAAAGAGTTGTCTTTGGATTGATGTGAATTTTTGGAAACAACCTCTCAAGACTCCAAACTTTGGGATCGTAAAGGTTTTCCACAGAACCCTAGCCTAGGAAAAAGGTTCAAAGATCATCATGATTATATGAGATTTTGGAAAATCTTGCTATTAAAGTAGCCCTTCTTTTGAACTCGTGAAAAAAGGAGCTAAAAAGTATATATTTTATAGTAATACTTAAATTAGAAAAAAGTTCTTGGATTATTTTTTTTAATATTTCAAAATGATTATATTAAATTTTAGAAAAATCATGAATTTGTTAAAGCAAACTCTTTGGGAAAGCCACACTGCTACTTTCAAAGACCTCAAGAAACTTCATATATTCCAACACCAACCCCAAACCCACCGGCATATCTCCAAAGCCCTTGGCATGTGCAATACATGTGTGGCCAGCAGGACGGCAAAGATGTTGTCCACGGTCAGGTCCAGATATCCCGTGTACATGTAGGTGAGCAACGGTGCAAACTGATCGGCTGTCACGTTGCTCAGGTAGAGCAGTAACTCTCCACTGGCTGAACCACCAGCGGCTGCCACTGAAGAAGAGGAATTACCATTGGCTGCCGCTGCCGCCGCGATGGTGGCCATGGTGGAGGCCTCGTCCAACCGGATGGCGGAACGTAAATAGCCACTGTGCATCCCCAAGACCAGGGAGTGGGCTACGAAACGTACACTGCTGGGAGCTGGACCCACCTCCAGGATGACATCCGGCGGGGAGCTCATTACCAGCGAGGAGGCATTGCCGGCAATGCTACCGGGAAGGCTACCCAATCCTCCCAATCCCGAGGAGCGTGTGAGTGCCGGCGTGCTGCTGCCGCCGCTGCTGGTGCTGGTGGTGCTACCCGTCAGCCAGTTGGTGAACATTGCACGTGCACAATAACAAACAATTAAAAAAAAAAACGAAAAGGTTGTTGAGCGAGTTTCTCGAGCGAACGCGAAAGGATGCGGCAAAAGGATGCTGCGAGTGGCGGCCGAGACACGTGACCAGGGCGGATTCGGCTGGCGAACTGATGGCCCACGGCCGTGCGTCTCTGGTATTTATACTCCAAAAGGGAGTCGCAGCAGCAGCAGCAGCAGCGCAGCAATCGTCGTCGTCGTCGTCGTCGTTGTTGTCACTGTCCTTCGTCCTGTGTCCTTCGGGCTTCGGGAATTCGTTGATTCATTTGGCAGTCGGTTGCCCATCAAATTATTTTGATATTTTTGATTTATTTGTTGTTTATTATTGGAATTTTTAAGAAAGTTAATTTATTTTTAAAGTTTTTAATTTATATTTTGGAAATAATTTTATATTTCCCAATTTTTAAGGGTGATTTTTTTATTTTTGGAAAATATTCAGGCACAAATTAATTTTTTTTAAGTTTATATAGCTAAATATTATTTATAATTAACAAATTTTAATATTTAATATTATTTATAATAAAGATGTTTTAATATTTATTATTATATATGATAAAAATATTTTTATATTTTTATATACTTTTATATATTTTTATATATATTTTTAAATATATTTTAACACTTTTTTACGGCAATTCAAAAGATTAATTGGCAAATTAATTTAATTTTATTTTTTAATTTTAATTTATATATTTTATAATTATTTATATAATTAATTTTCCTTGATTTACTCTTTATTTTCAAATTTTTGTTTAGTGTTTTTTCCAAACTTGTTGAACTTTGATTTTGGTTGCAAGTTAATTAAAAATAATATTGGTGTCGAAAAGTGTTGCCTACTTAAGCGGGCTTGCAAGGGTAAAGGGTAAGGATAGGTTTTTCCTCCAATTTTCCCCCCACCCCCTCGCTTTTTGACCCAAAATGCAGAATGGCAGGATTTCGCGGTCCCTTTGAGTCCATTTTTCCTCTCTCTCTCTCTCCTCCCCCCCGTTTTGCATCTCGCATCCATTTGCATGTGTCATTTGAGCGCTTAACAACTCTTTACCGTCTTCTTGTCCGTGTGTGTGCGAGTGTGTGTGTGTGTGTGTGTGTTACCACCCGAAAATGTTGCCTCAATCGACTTAATTGATTTGTGGGCATAACCAACACATATTTACACACTGTTTGTATCTCTACATATAGCATGTTGATTTACTCAGTGTGTGTGTGTGTGTGTTGGGAGTGTGTGTGCCTTATCTGCTTACAAATGTGTGTGTCTGTGTGTATGTCTTGTGGTTGTGTTGCTGGAATTCCCAATCAGCTATTAGCGTGAATATACCCTAAAAATATGTTCTGTTTAGGTCCTCTGTGTGCTCTGTGTGGGGCAGACCCTGCTCTAGGCTTGTTTTTTTAAAGATATTTATATTATATATACTTTTTTTTTTGGGTTTCCAAACTACAGGAAATTGGGATTATATAATATTTGTGAAGATCCCGTATAATATATGAAATTAGGACATTTTTAACAGACTTATTTTAGAGATATTTATAATTTTTTTTTTTAGGAAATAAAAAAGAAATTTTAAAATTTTAAATTTTTGTGAAGTTTTTTTAATAAAAAAATAGGTTTTTTTTTTTTTTCAAAATATTTATATTTATTTTTCAAAATATTTATATTTATTTTTTACGGTTCCAAACTAATAGAAATTAAGAATTTTAAGTTTTTGTTTAATAATTTGGAACTTAAAAAAGGTTTTTTTTAGATTTAATTTTTTATAATTTTTTGTTAAAATCCCTGTTAAAGAAAATTTGGAAATTTTTTAATTTTTGTTTAGATCCCATAATAAATAAAATAAGTAAACTTTAATCCAGCTCGAAGTACCAAATTTATAGCCTCAAAAAAAAAAAAGAAATCATAGTCTTGTTTAGATTTGATTAAAGTTTCTTTTCTGGAAATCAAAATAAAGAGGAGTTTATTTTTTATAATAATAAGTTAATAATAAATTAATTTATTGAATTATTTTTTAATTATTTAATTTAATAATAAATTAATTTATTTAATTCCCTAAGAGTTAAAACACATTTCCCATATATTTCTCTCGATTAAAAGTCGCCAAGGTAACCCTTGAATTCCAACTACACCTTCCTACGCTTGCGGCATTATTTTTCTAAGATTTCCATCAGCATACAAAACCCAACGATGGCTTTCCCCCCCATTTCCCCCCTATTTTTTTCGTGTGGCTTATTTGGTCATTTGGTTGGCTTTTAATTACCGTTACTGCTGATCGGTTTATTTGAGCAACCGCACCCTTTGGCCAGGTCCTTCCTCCAAAAACAAAATACAAAAAAAAAAAAAAGACATTCGTTGCGGTTGCCCCTAAAATACCGACAGATTTCGACTGTCCGATATGGCAATTGGTCAGTTTGTTGGCTTTTTATTATGCTATATGGCATGGCATATGGCAATGGCATGGCCCTTATTGATAGGCTAATTTAATTAAGTCGCCTTTTGTAAGGACCTCTCACACTGCTCTCTCACTCACATCCTGTCCGCTTCGATTTCACTTCAATCAAGCGTTAACAATTTTAATTAAATTATTTCCAAATGTAATTATAAATGTGCGTCATGCATAAATTGTGTTATTAATTTATTTACCCACTGCCACAGCCCACAGACAACAATTGCAATTACACCGAAAAGTCGAAAGTCCTGCAGGATCCCTGCCTGTCTCTCCCTTTTTCCGGAAAGGTGCAAAATGGGTAGAAGGTAAAACTGGACAGGAGGTGGGTCCGTTCCGTCCGCCAGACGCTGGTCCGAGGCCAACTTTTTGAATAAATAATCACAACGTAGGCAAAAAATAAATTTCATAAATTGGCATAAAAACGGGGCAAAAAAATACATGTCCTGAAATGCTGAATAAAAAAAAAAATTCATAAAATCAAAATATAAAAAAATCCAACTGTGCGCTGCTTTCTCGACATCGTCGTCAATCTCTGTGGCATGTATTTTAAACGTTGCATTAATACCCCATTCTGTATTGTATCCTTATCCGGATGTACACATGTCCTCCATGTCCTTTTTTTTTGTCGGCTTTTATTGCCACATTTTTTAATTGTTAAAAGCACTGAGCTGCGTGTTTTTTTATTTTTTTATGACATTTCTGGTTCATCTATAAGCGATCGCTATTACTGGGATTTTACAAGTAAAATATTAAAACAATATATAAAGTTGTTTTAAAAATTAAATTACTTAAATCGAAATAAATTTAATTTTTTTTAATGTAAAATATATAAACAATAAATGCATTTATTTTAGGATTTATTGTAATGTAAGGAAGATATGCTCTCCTATTTAAATTAATTCCAGGAATTTCAAAAATATATAAATTAAAGGAATCTATAAATAATTCAACAATTCACCAATACTGCAACTAATAATAATTTAATTATAAATTAATTTTTTAAATAGGAGCTTTATTTTTTGAAAATTTATTTCATTTTAAAAAGCCTTAATTGGTTGCCACTCTTTCCCTTTTCCACTTTTCTTTTTTAACTTGTTAAAAATGTTGTTGAAATCGCCCCACTGTAAGCTGCACAGTGGAATTGTGTCACCTGCTGTCTCGCTGCCTCTCGTGATGCACAATTCAATTCAATTCAATTAATGAAACGTTGAAAAACGAAGCGCTGTGTGTCACTTTTGCCTCACTTTGTGTGGGCCACACTTTGTGCTGATCTTTGCAGTAAGTTGGCAAATTGCCTGACAACCGGAAAACCAAATCGAAGCAGCAGCAGCAGCAGCAACAGGACACACACTCGCCTTGCCTGTCAACTGACATATACACACACACACACACACGCACAACCAGCCCGGCTTTGTCCATGTTGACAAGCAACTTCTGTTCCTCTACCTTCCTTCCTCTCGTCCTGGGCTCAGCTGCAGCTTATCCCAGTTGGATTTTATTGCTTGCATACACTCCACTCCACACAGACACACAGGTATCCTTCCGTTGCTCATACTTCGCTTTTGGGTGGAAGCGAGTCAAAAGGGACAAACCTTTTATGACAATTAAAACATAATTGACGGTCAACATTAATAAACCAAACGCACAACGAAAAAAAAGCAATACAACACAACAGCAGGAGTAAAGCAAAGAGCAGAAAGGCAACAACACGGCAGAACAGAGCAGAACAGGATGTCCAGGATATTCATACATGGTGTATATATATGTATATGCACTTGAAAAAAACTGGAATTGAAAGAAATTTTGAAATTAATTTGGGTTTTGAAAAATCTAATAAATTTTGTTGTTGTTGTTGAAAAACTTTGGAGAAATTAAAGTTGTTGTTATGTTTGTTGTTATTGTTGGTGAATTGTTTAAAATATAGTATTATTTTTATTATTATTATTCAAGGTGCTAAGGTATCCACCTTTTAAACAGCTCTTAAAGAGATTTCCCCAATTTAAAATTACGCCTGTATTTTTTATTACAATTCTCCAATGAAAAATAGACTCTATTTTAATACATTCTTTTAATTTTTATTTTTATGCTATTTATTTTATATTTTTTATATTTATTTTTATGCTGACATGAATGAAACCAGTTCTAATAGATTGAATAATCTCTGCTTCATTGTTGTGTGCTGTATTTTTTTTACACCAACAACAACCACACCAACACTAGATTGCAATTGAACTCCTTTTTTTTTGGGATAAAAAAAAATGAAATAATAAAAACAAAAAGGGTGCGATGAAACGAATAACGCACTAATCCCCCAGCCAGGATATACATACTCTGTAGTACCCCAGATCCCCAGAGATATATATTCTCCCCTTTTTCCCCCTCTCTCTATCTCTCTTACCTCTCTCCCTTATCTCACACAAATCAACAGCCATTTTGTGTTAGTTAAAAATTCTTTTTGTGTGCCAAAAAACCCCTCTCTCTCTCTCTGTCTCTAAAAAAAAAAGCAAGGGGTGCCACCCAAAAGAAGGCAAAGCTCCAAAAACACACAACAAAAAAATATAGAAAGCGCGCCAAAAACGAAATTTGAAAGCATTTTTGGGCGCAGCAGGGATGTGTGTGTATTATTTTGTAGCCTCAATTTGGACTATTAAACTGGTGACACACGGGGGCGTTACTTACTTACTTACCATTATTGTTGTTGCTGTTGTTGTTTTATTAATTTGTTCATTGCATTTTGAAGTGATGTCCGCTGCTGCTGCTGCTCTTTTGTGCATTATGCTGATGGAAAGTAAACGCGAAATAAGAAGTGCTTCGGTTGGGTTGGGTTGCCAAATG